ACAGAATGGCAGGTTACTAGAACAAAGTGTTCTTGCATTGAAGGAGGACTTAAGTAGAGGCCCAGTGTCCATCTGGTACTTTACTATTTAGCCTATAAATATATGTACATAGACCTATATCCCTACCGTTATATATTAATATATTTACATATGTACATGCCTATGTTTATACCTCTGTAAATGTCTTTTGCCACCTAGTTCTTTCCTCTATAATTTGCATGAGTAACCTTACTCATATTCTTTAAACAGGTCAACCCCAAAACCAGTTGTTACTAGTGCTTCTCCTTGTGCATACATGCAGGTCAAGGTCTTTGACCTTGGTGCTAACTTCTTTGTTCTGTTGGAGCTTTTGCTGCCACTGTAATTCTAGGCCAGAGTTTAGCATATCACGTCCCTGCTCAGAGATGTTTAATAACTCCTTTTGGTCAGGACCCAGCTTAATCCTACTTCTCAAACATATCCTGTACTTGCTGCTCTTCTGCACTTAATTCATCCTGTTTTCTCCATTCTCATCTACCCTCCTCTAGCATAGCGCCTTGTATTAAAAGAATCCTGGCCAACTCAACTTTCAGTTCCTTTTTGCTTTTCATATTATACAAATAGTATCGTGCTACATTTATGAAACTTCTTACACTCAACACGTTGTAGACATCCTGGTCAATATATTAAAAAGTTCAGTGCCATCGAGCCAATTCTGGTTCATAGCAATCCTACAGGACAGATTAGAACTACCTGTGGGTTTCTGAGACTATAACTCTTTACAGGAGCAGACAGCCTCATCTTTCTCCTGCAGGTGACTGCTGGTTTCTAACTACTGACCTGTGGCCAGCAGCCTACTGAGTAATCACTATGCCATCAAACCTTTTTTGTTGTTGTTGGTGGTGGTGGTGGTGGTATATAGCTAAGTTATATTGTTGTAAATATATATAATTTATTTGGTGGTTATAAGAATATAATAGGTTACTAATTTAGCTTTTTTTGTTTTCTGCTAATAGTAAACAATGTTTGATATCTTTGTACCTTTAAGAATATTTATAGGTTTAATTCCTAATGGAATTGTTTACTCAAAAGACATGTACATGTAAAATAGTGATAAACCAAACAAAAAACCTACTGTTAATAGGTCGATTATGATTCTTAGCAACCCTATTGGAGGGCTTCTGGGGGTATAAATCTTTACAGGAGCAGATCGCCTCATCTCTTTCCAGGCCGGAGCTGGTGGTTTGAACCACTGACTCTGCAGTTAGAGTCCCAACACTTAGCCCACTGCACCACTGAAAGGCCCTTCAACATTGCACCAGTTTTCACTATTATCAGCAATTGTTTAGATGCCTTTCTCTTTCTACCCTAACCAACAGTGGGTATTAAATGTTAATTGTTGCCCCTAAGTGAAAATGATATCTTATTGTAACTAGCATTTCTTGTGTGAATGAAATTGGGTATAACTGGCCACTAGATTTTCTATTTGCTGCCTATTTTGATCAGGTTATTCTCTATATTTTATTACATTTATGTATATTTTAATGAGTTAGCTTAAATGTGAATATTTATCCACACTTCTTTGTCATGCAACTTTGTGTATGGCTTATTGCATTTTTAACCATATACATGTAACTCTTTATACACTTGCATCCTAGTCTTCGTTATGTTCCCCATTACATCTTAGAGATGCTCAGCACATAATAGTTGAATGAATCTTCCAACACTGTAGGAAAAAATGATTCAGCTTATTCCTCCCCTCAGAAAACTCAAACACCACATTTTGTAAAGGTAAATAAAATTTAAGTAGCCCATCCCAAGAGTTTATAATTAACTGTGATACTTCAACTTTCTATTTACTTATTTTGACCAAATGGGTTGAATTTAAAGTTGTTGTAGTGCGCGGGACAGGAGCTGGGGTGGTGCAGGGATTAAGTACTCCACCGCTAACCGAAAGATGGGCCGTTCCAACTGACCTGCTGCTCTGTGCAGAAAGATGTGGCAGCCAGCTTCCCTAAGACTTCAGGGCGGAAGCCCTGTGGAGGTAGTTCTTCTCTGTCCTGACGGTCCCTGTGAGTCAGAATGGACTCACTGGCAGGGGGTTTGTTTAATGATCAAGAAGTTAACAAATTTAACTACTCTAAAGGTGCAAATAATGGGCAAATAATAATAAGAATGCCTTGACATATTTTTATCAAAACTCTAAAGCAGTCTTCATACATAAAGAGAAATTCTAGCCAGCCAAGAAAGCCTAAGTAAAAGAATGCTCTTAAACTAAACCATGATCCTTTCATATATAAGCCATCCAACTCTATTAGCTAGACATAGAAGGGAGTTCCCCCTTCCACCCTCCCCCAAAAGTAGGGTCTAGTTGCTCTATTAGAATGAGTCAGATATAATCATGATTGTGTCAAAAGTTCAAAAGGGAAAATGGAAGGTAAAATGAGCTGACTTGGCACTCTTCCCTCAACATTGTACCTGTAAGCTTGATATGTTGTTTCAGAGATTAACTTTATAGACTTCCGTGCCCAGAAGTATGAAAATTCTTAGGGAACTCTTTTCACAAGCTTGATCTTAACATGTTGAATAAAGAGAGCAGTTAATCCCTTTTGTAAAGTAATTCGAGAGGAGGGAATTCAAAATGTAAAATCTCACCTGCAGAAAACACTCAATTCTGGAAAGGCCCTTCCAGCTTTAGACACTTAAAAAGACTTAATATTTTAATGCGGAAGAGTGAACTTGGTTAAAAAGCCACTGGGTGAAATTAGAGAGAAATAATCCAGTCCTTTCTTTCTGGGAATGATCATCCTGCTCTCCAGGGGACTTAATTTTACTCCCCCGGGGAGGTGAGAAGCCCCCCCCACCCCCCCACGCTGTTACAGCAAGCCAGCATCTCTAAATATAAGCTTGACTTTAGTATAATAAGAGTCTTGTTAGGTGCAATTTTGCTCTTAGTCATTAATACAATGAACAAATGTTGTGGTTACCTGGGAAAGAAAATTCAAGTGCTTTTAAACCTCTCGTGAGATTTGGTTTCATGCTTGAAACGTATACAGTGTTGTGCCCAATAGCATCCGTAGAAGACTTCAAGCTGTAAGGTATACAACATAGAAGTTAATAACACTTTGGGGAAAAATGAGACCATTACAAAATGGGTTTCAAGGCCAAATAAAAAGCTTTTCTTTTGCTGAATGGCAGTTACTTAACTAGTGGCATTAAGTTTAACATATGCCTGGAATTTTCTTCAGAGTTAAATTGTGCATGAAGTTGTCCCTGTACACAAAGTGGGAAGTCAGTCTTTCCTTCAGGTGGCACTTAATTTTTCCCCTACAGTTGTACACGTTCAGAGATGGAATCAGGACAGAATACACTCGGAAAAGGTATAGTATTAAATGGCATTTTCAGCAAGCTCTGGCTTCAGATGGGTTGTGGCATTCCTGCTGCCTACCCATGCTGCGGCATTCATTGCCCATGTTGTTAGTTACCAGTAGTCCATTATGACTCATGGTGACCCCCTGTATTTCAGAGTAGAAATGTCCCATAGGGTTTTCAAGGCTGTAGCCTTTCCGAAGTAGATCATCAAGGCTCACTCCCCAAAGCATCTTTTTTTATGTGTGTATTAAAATCTACTCTCGGCAATAATATACTAGTGTCAAGCAGCTTCTGCTAATAGTGCCTTGTTGGAAAACTGTACAAATGGGATTTGGTATCATGTTTTCTCTTTAAGAGGGATCTGGTAAAAAACAGAAGTTTTCCTGAGGTTTAGAAGTTGACAGAAATGGCAAGTATTAACTATTAGCCTTTGTGACCTTGCAAAGAATAAGATTCTAAAACAGCGGTTCTTAACCTGTGGGTTGTGACCCCTTTAGGGGTCGCCTGATTCATAACAGTAGCAAAATCACAGTGATCAAGTAGCAACAAAAATAATTTTATGATTGAGGGGGTCACCACAATGTGAGGAACTGTATTAAAGGGTAGCAGCATTAGGAAGGTTGAGAACCACTGCTCTAAAAGTTCTTCTACGTTCTCATGTAACTGCAAAGTGCTGGGCTTTGTGTTTCCCTTTTTGACATTTACCCTCTGCCCGGAGGACTCCGGACCTAGGAGCCCGATCTTGTGTGTCTGACTCTTCCTGCTCATCCGTAGAGTGCAGATAGCACACTGCTTGCTTTCCCTTACTCTCTGCTGTGTGTCCGAAGGCCAGTGTGCATAATGCTTCATTCACTTAGTTTCTTTCTTTTTTTTTTTAAATCATTTTATTAGGGGCTCATACAACTCTTATCCCAATCCATACATACATCAATTGTGTAAAGCACATTTGTACATTTATTGCCCTCATCATTCTCAAAATATTTCCTCTCCACTTAAGCCCCCGGCATTAGGTCTTCATTTTTCCCCTCCCTGCCCGCTCCTCCCTCCCTCATGAGCCCTTGATAGTTTATAAATTATTATTTTGTCATATCTTGCCCTGTCCGACGTCTCCCTTCACCCACTTTTCTGTTGTCTGTCCCCCAGGGAGGAGGTCACATATAGTTCCTTGTAATCGGTTCCCTCTTTCCAACCCATTCTCCCTCTACCCTCCCAATATCACCATTCACACCACTGGTCCTGATGGGATCATCCACCCTGGATTCCCTGTATTTCCAGTTCCTATCTGTACCAGTGTACATCCTCTGGTCTAGCCAGACTTGCAAGGTAGAATTCATATCATGATAGTGGGAGCGGGGAGGAAACATTTAGGAACTAGAGAAAAGTTGTATTTTTCATCGTTGCTACATCGCCCCCTGACTGGCTCGTCTCCTCCCCGAGACCCCTCTGCAAGGGGGTTCACTTAGTTTCTTATGCAAAAGCTAACCTAACCCAAGTAGTGAGACCTTTTCTATTTCCTTTTAAAGTACTTAAGCTCTTTTTTCACTGCAACCCTGAGTGAGCATTGTGTACTAAAATGCCATCTAAAATGGATGGCAGTCAAAGCTTTTCCTCATTCTTGCTCAGTTGATATTTTACAACTCACCTAAATCATGGGTATCCTGGTGTTGTGGTGGGCTACACACGGAATTGTTAACTACAAGGTGAGTGATTTGAACCCACCAGCCGCTTCAGCGGAGAAAAATGAGGCTGTCCACTCCACGAAAGATTTAAAGTCTCGGAAACCTACAGGGGCAGTTTGACCTGTCCTATAGCTGTGAGCTGGAACCTACACGATGACAGTGTCTAAATAACAGAAAAACAAACTATGCTTATGTAAATAACCTAAGCTGGTCACCCCAAAAGGCTTGTGCAACATGCATTTAACATTTTGTGTCATTGTGTAAATGTGCTTTCAGTTAGCAAAGTTTCATTTTCTTAGAGGTAACAGTACCTTCATAATTTTATTAGTATCTAAAATTACCATATTAGCAATTTAACAAGCGTTTCGTTCGATAGTGCCTTAGTTTAGAAGTAACCTTTTTGTTGTTTCAGACAAATCTTCCTATTTTCAAGCTGAAGGAATCTACTGTTAGAAGAAGATACAGTGACTTTGAATGGCTGCGAAGTGAATTAGAAAGAGAAAGCAAGGTAAGAATTATTTTCAAGCAAAACATCCCAAGTTTTTATGCTTAAGATATTTCAGGAAAGTCAGCTTGAATAGAATGGATTAAAAGCAAATAGGATTTCTTTTTTGAAACAGTTTAGTTTTAGGTTGTTTTAGGGAGAATGCCTTGGTAGTGTTTCCTTAGGACTTTCTTCTTTCTCTTAGGGACTTCAATTACTTTCTCATGCAAAAGCGAACCTAACCCTCTTGAGGCCCAGTTGAGGTCTTCATTGACTCTCCCTTGAATTTATATCACTTCATGGAACTCTTGCTATTACTTCACTTCCTTCTCCTTTCTTCCTGTTCCACGGTCCCTCCACCCCCATCCCTTCTTCTCCCTCACACCCTTCGCCAAGTTTCGCTTCCTTACTACATCTCATATGTCAGTGTATTATATTTCCTTTTTTTTTAACTGCATCTAATAAATAAATGCATTTTTAAAATCATTACACCCAACCCCCAAAAAACCCAGACTCACTGCCATCGAGTTGATTCCAACTCTTAGCAACCCAGTAGGGCAGTTCTATTTTGCCAAATCGGGTCAATATGAGTTGGAATTGAATTGATAGTGCTTGGAGCATATCGGCTGGAGTTCCAGGACTCCATATCAATTATTAAAGAGCCTGTGGAAAGTATACTAGAAGCCCACTGGGCATCTTTTATTGTAGTATATTTTTAAAACTAGTGTGTGTGTGTGTCTGTGTGGTGAGTTTTAGAGTGAGAGAATGCTCAAAGATACCCAAAAACTATTTTGAACAAATATTGAGCTGCTAGACATCAGAAGGTTCTTAAGATTAAAAAGTAATTACAACAGTATAGTTTAGTATTGCTTTAGGGATTGGCGAAGAGATTATTGGGATGTAATAGAGTTTAGAAACTGACCCTTGTGTTTATAAGGAATTTAGTTCAAAGCAAAAGTAGTGTTTATCAATCAGTGGGCAAAGGAATATATACCCAGTAAATGATATAATAAAATTTGGTTATCTACTTAAGAATAATGATTTATAACTCACTATCTATAAATTATGTGGCTTGAAGATCTAAATGTACAAAAGTAGTTAGGAAAATTTGGGATAATGAAAGAAGAGCTGTTTTATAATCAAGGGGCATAGGATCTTGATACAGGGTTTGGGCTTTTCCTAACGTAGACCTAGCACATTGTGACATTTAATAAAGATTTACTGACTGTATACTTCCCGTTTTCTTCCTTAGTGACGCTTTACTGAGATGACATTCACATCGCAAACTCTTAATGTATACCGTTCAGTGGTGTTTGGTATATTCAGAGTTGTGTAGCTGTCACTACTGTCAAATCGAGGACCCTAAGAAGAAATAAATAGTCACTGCCCATTTTCCTGCCAAAACTTCCCCTTCTAGCTCAGACAATCATTAATACATTTTCTTTCTAAATGAATCTTATTCTGGATATTTCCTGTAAATGGAAGCATAAAATATGTGGCCTTTTGTGTTCCTCTTGGAAGAACCATACCTAGCCCTGCCCACCAGGATTCTGGCTCCTAAGTTTACCAAGTTATTCTACAAAAGGTATTCTTACGAGGTTCACCAGCAACTTCTTAAACCGATTACCATGGAGTCAGTTCCTACACACGGCAGCCCCCAGGTGTGTCTCTAGAACTGTGCTGCAGTGGCTGATTTTTCACAAGTAGTACTTGGTCCTTCCTTCTAACGCACCTGTGGGTGGACTTGACCCCCCCCCCCAACCTTTCATTGAGCAGCCAAGTATCTTAACTGCTTGCTCCACCCAAGGAGTGTGAAATAAACAAACCTAGCACCATCTAGTCAACTTCAGCTTCCAGTAATCCTACAGGACAGGGAACCTGTCTCTCAGGGTTTCTGCGCTAAATGTTTACAGAGACATTCCACCTCATCTCTCATCCGGGAAGCAGCTGGCGGCCTTGAACCATAGACTCTGGTGCTATTTAATTGGAACTTGAGCTTCAGCTAATTCCCAAAAGGGAGAGATCAGAATTGTATTGACCCTAGAGAAAGGCTGGGGAGAAAGCTGGCCTGGTGTTTAGCCTAGGATATGGAAGAATGGCAGCAGGCAGGGTGGTTTAATTTGTCATCAACTGGTGTGCAGATGGTAAGAGGTTGAGGAAACTGACCACAGAATTCTTAATTACCCATTTCAGTAAGAACATTATTATCAGTGTTTTATTAATTGAGAATCCATGTTCACTTCTGAAATTTTTCTTGCAATAAGATACTGCCTTCTCCGAGTGACATCAAAAATGGCTGATGGTCACGGTGGCCTTAGCTGAGCATTACCTGACTGTTCTCTTTGTATTTCTGTGCTTTGGAAGACGAGGAAGGATGATAATTGAACTATTAGCCTTGCCCTTGGTGAGCAGTTGCCTTGCCTCCAAACTGTCCTTATTTTAGTGTGTTTTTACGGATTCCCGTTTTATGTAAACTAGCTCAAGAGTGGTATGTCTCTCTTAGTAAGGCTGTAAACAAACAAACTCACTGTTATTGAGTCAATACTGACGATAATCTGCCTTTATCTTGTGCTCTGTGTATTTCCACAACCCAGTTAACAAGCCAGCACGACCAGAACTTTTTCCCTTGTGTGTTTTCAGGTTGTCGTTCCCCCACTCCCTGGAAAAGCCTTTTTGCGTCAGCTTCCTTTCAGAGGAGATGACGGGATCTTCGACGACAGCTTTATTGAGGAAAGGAAGCACGGGCTGGAGCAGTTCATCAACAAGTAAGTGCTCCCTCGCCTCCAGCTGTGAGAATGAGCCCTTTCCTGAGACAGCCTCAGTACAGTGTGGAAGGCAAGTCACTGGGGATTCCCATGTACAGTTACTCGTTTTTCCCCAAAATAAAAATGCCTAACAAGTTGAATATCATGTGATAAATATTAACACACTTGTATGATTGAAGTAAGTATCTTGGTGTTGACCTAAGTTTTGTATTTGTTTTTCTCGGTTAATTTATGCAAATTACATTTAAAATTACAGTATTTTAAAAGTACAGTTTTACTTATGATTCTTTCTGATTTAAGGAATGTTCTGTCATGAACAATAGAACTTACAATGCACTTGCAATCGTTTTGTTTGATTGCAGATGCAGGTATTATCAGCACGTCTTATGTAAAGGTGCACATTTTAAATTTTCATGGCAACATATATTCTTTGTAAAGTAAAAAGGCTCGGGATGGTTTATCTTTTACTGTAGAGAACAGTAATAAACTACCCATTTAATCCCACTTGGAGTATGGTTAGTCTTTTTAAGTAGCATGAGAGGAAAAGACTCCCTGTGGTTATACAGTGGCCTTAAGTTCCGTCAAGTCAAGTCCTGGGAATGTGCTCGTTTGAACTAACTCAGTAGCAGCCCTGGAGTTCTTAGCCTAGTGATGTGAAGAAGTGTGAGCAGTAGACGAAGAAGGAAGGGCTGCGTGAAGTCGTGCGCTCTGCTTAGCTGTTGCAGCGTACAGCCGACACTGGCCCGTGCGCATCCTTTCCCTTGGTGGAGGCGTGCAGTGTTGTTGGGAGATGCCCTCAAGGTGCCTTCGACTCACCTGCGTTTCCAGGCTGCAGTCTCTAGGGGAGCAGATCACCAGGTTCTTCTCCCCCGAAAAGCTCATTGGATGGGTTCAAACTGCCAGTCTTTAGGTTAGTAGCCCAAGTGTTTAACCACTGGACCACCAGGATTCCCAGTGATATACTTCAGATGCTTTTAATTTTGAAAAATGAATTGTGACTACCCAGCTTGGTCTTATGTTTAATATATGATGGAGACTTCCCCAAGCAAAAAGGCCGCTCTGCCTTTTTCTTAGTGCGTTGGTCTCTGGTGTGTCTACCGCTAATCCCATCTGCTTTCCTTCTTTAAAGTACATTCTTAGATCCAATGACATTGCATGTTTCAAATCAAAATCCAGTTAGGTTTCTTAGGAATGCTCCAGCTGATGTGTCAAGATGACCGGGTGTATATGCCAGAAGCCATGCACAGCTAGTCTCAGGTGACCCTGTGAACCAAAGGAAAGAGGATGTACCACTGAGTAGAACGTAACGTTACAGCACCCACCCACCCAAAATAGTGGACTAAATTTGTCTTTTTTTCCCTAGGGTCGCTGGGCATCCTCTGGCACAGAATGAGCGTTGTCTTCACATGTTTTTACAGGACGAAATCATAGATAAAAGCTATACTCCATCCAAAATAAGACATGCCTGAAGTGATGGCAAGAAGGAGACCAAAAAAAGAAAAACAAACAAACAAACAAAAAACCCAACTTTCCATAACTATTACTGATTCGTATGCACCAGTGAAGAAGTTCTCACTAACTCTTAGCATGCTGCACAGAGACCGGTCTAACATGCCCTCCGTGTGCTAACACTCATGATGATGCCGGTTTTGTTTGTTTGGGCACTTGACAAGAAGTTAATTTGCTTTAGCGAAAATCCCTCATTCCAGCCTTTCCCTCAATCGCTCTCCCTCGCTGTTCTCCCGCGGTGCGCACCACCTGACGGCCTCGCCAACCTGTCTTTTCAGTGTCATCTGCAGTGTCCTCACTAAAGTGACCGCCTTGTCTGCTATGCACAGATTGTGTGTCATGTCTGCTTCTTGAATCTGACTCACTAGAATGTGCCCCTTAGCCCTCTTTCCACTCCGCGATGTCACCTGTCCTGAGTCCTGTGTAGGAGCACGACACCGCTGCTTCCCACTCCCGCCCCCAGAAGAGACACACTTGTGTGTGCAAACCACGTCTTCCCTCGGGCTCGAAAAATCCTCCACACGGAAGATTCATGAGGGACATCTTTATATAATGTGTAAAGAACAAAATCCAATTTATATACTAAAATCATTTGTCTAAGATTTTAGGTGGTTTTCCAATAAAAATGAAACCGCATTTCTGATGTGCACTGAGTGTGCGGCCTCAGCTCGTCCTTTCCCCTTTCTGGCTTTGCTGCTTGACTCACGTGTGGAGAGGGATTATTTACTAATTCTATACTCTCAGTCCTGTAACTCCACTCCTCTCTAAACAGGGTGATATCAAATATGCCAGCACCCTTTGAATGGGGCATTTGCTTTTAAACAACAACAAAAAAGTGATGTGCTTAAAAAAGGAGAAAGCATTCCTTACGGCTTTCCGAGCCATTTAAGAAGCAGTCTGTGTATTTGCAAAATGCTCTAGCTCCTCGAGCCTTCTTTCAAAGGCTTTTCAGTACCATGCCTCCTGTTTTGTCAGAAGAATGTTTTCCTATACCCAAATGATTTGTTTAAATAAACTTGTTGTAAAGGGTGTTGCAGACCTTTTCTCTTTAATTTGGTTTGGGCTGGGCACACTAGCTTCTTGATACGGTGCTGTCAAGTCTGTTCCCACCCATAGCAACCCATTTGGCAAAATGGAAACGCCCACTGGGTTTATTTGGCTGTAATCTATATTGAAGTTTGCCAGATCTCGGTCTTCGGAATGGGTGGGTTTGAGCTGCCACCCTTTCAGGCTGCAGTGAACCATGATAGCGCCAATAGTCCTTGCTCCCTGACTGAAGGAAACATCAAATCACTGCAGCCTGGCTCTCGAATTTGGATCTGCACAATACCAGTGAATCGATGGGGCCAAGACTGTCTTTTATTTATGTGTCCAGTTGTGTCTGAAATTGTTATTTAAGTTTCCCATATACTTCTGAAACCTTTGGCCCGTAGGGGACCATTTGATTCTTGGAATTTGGGCAGATTTCGCTTAGTTTTGTTTTGCTTTTTAATTATAGTCAAATATATATCATGCGATGCACTGCTTTTTCCACTGTAAGTGTTATGGAGTCACATGTACCATGCTGTACAACAGTCATCATCCATTGGCCAAAAAATGGTATCATTTCACACAGAGACCCAAAACAAAGCCCACTGCCATTGAGTTGATTCCGACTTTCATAGCAACCACATAGGACAGTAGAACTGCCCCAGAGGCTGTAAATCTTTACAGAAGCAAAATGTCAAATCTTTCTCCGAAAATGCTGCCATCCAATTGATGCTGACTCAAAACGGCCCTATAGGACAGGATAGAACAGCGGTGTGGGTTTCTGAGACTGTAACTCTACGGGCATAGAAAGCCAGGTGATTTAGAACTCTGGACTTTGTGATTAGCAGCCCAAAACATAACCACTATGCCTCCTCGATCTATCTGTGCAGAAACCTGGGACCCTCACCAGTCCACTCCCCTCAGCCCCTGGTCACCTTTGATGAACCTTTATCCCTGTGCGTTTCCTCCTGTGCTCGGTATTTCATATAAGTAACATCGTAAAAATGATTGGTCCTGAGTCTATGACAGCACAATATCTCCACGGTTTATCCATGTATCAGAACTTCATTTCTCCTTGTGGCTCAATAAAATATGATATACCACTTCTGTTGGCTTATTCACCTCTGGGTGGGTGCTTGGGTGGTGGTGTCCACCTTTTGTTGTTAGATGCCATCGAGTCACTTCCGACCCATACTAACCTTATTCACAACACTGCCGGGGGCGCACCATCCTCAGTTGTTCCAATACTTGGTGTGAACCTACCTTGTAGCTATTGTGAATACTGACGTACAACTACCTGTTTGAGTCTCTCGGCACTTTGGGGTCCATACCAGAAGTGGAAAAACTGGGACATAAGGGAACCCTGTGTTCAACTTTGAGGAAATGGCCAGCCATTTGCCATAGTGTGGGGTTAAAGGGAAGAGGAAACCCCATAAAACATCACAGGTTTGGTAGGCGCAATTGTACAGCGATAACAAGTAGAGATTATATTAAAGTCATAGAGAGCATGAGAGTTAAAGGATGGAGTCAAGTAATGGAGTCAGACGCAATTCATGGTAGCATCACTCACCTCAGCCCCACTTGATGGTCCTCGTGGAGGGGACTTAGCCACCAGAGTAAAAGCAGCTGCCTCGTCCTCCTCAGCCACCCTCCCGAGAACCAGGGAGCCTCCTTATTTATTGCTAACGACGTATCGTATCACTTTCGGGGGGATCTGATTACAGAATCATACATCACAGAAAGGGGCAGTACAATCCATCCTTGAGCAGGTTTGTTCATTCTGGTGTCTCATACAATAAAACACAATTACTATCCTGGGAGGCGTGCAAGCCCCCTGATAGCAGACAACAACCTACGTCATAGAGAGGGGTTGTAACATAGGCAATACAAGCAATAGGAGGGGGATGACCTAGGGGTGAACGCGCAATAGTAAGAGGAGGGAATAGGGGGAAATGTGTGGCAAGATGGTAGCCTAAGCTTAGTCATCTTAGAGCTTAGAAGCTTGCCTTTGGGCACTGCTTCAAGGGAACAATAACAGAAAGGACTGGGCCCTACTTAGGGTGAGTCAGACTATACTGTCTGGCCACTCTAGATGGCTGATGTTAAGGAGGATAACCTCTGACCTACTTGTGCTGACGGCCCAGCATACAGTCATACTCAAGCAACTAAGTCTCGTACATATTACTGAGGAGACAGGAGAAATCCTTCTGTTCCCCACACCATAGCAACTGGGCCATCTCACCGCCTCACCGGCAGTGAATGAGGCCTGGAGTTGCTTTCTCCACATCCTTGCCCCCACCTGTGGCTTCAGTCTTTCTGGCAATCACCCCAGTAAGAATGAAGTGCGACAGCACTGCAGTTTGGAGTTTTCTTTTGCTGCATTTTAGGAGTTCTTTATATATTCTAGCTAGTAAGCCCTTGTCAGATACACATAATTGCCACATATTTCCTCCCACTCTAGGTTGCCTTTCACTGCCCTCACACGTGTTTACTTTTGTTGAAGTCCAATGTATCTAGTTTTTCTTTGGTGGCTCATGGTTTTGGTGTCATATCTAGGATTCCATTGTCAAACACTAGTTCCTGCAGCATTGCCCCTGT